AGTAATTTTAAGAATATTATTTGTACTATTTTATCTTTTAACCCTATGCTAATATGTTCACTATCTAGAAGGTCATATTTGTATCTTTTTTTCAGTCTCTCAAGGAACCTGAATGTTGGCTTTATGTCTGAAACTCCTGGAATTCCTGGAAATTTTCTTGTGAGATATCACTTGGCTCAAATCATACCTATATCTATCTATCTATCTATCTATCTACCTATCTATATCTATATAGATATATATAGATATATATAGATATAGATATATAGTATACAGGTACTTAACCCAACCCTAACACTTACAGGACTCCTCTGATAAGATAAATTCAAACAAAGTGGGACTTCTGTCTAGGAAGATGCAGCCCCTGAACAAGTCGATGGCTATCTCAAAACCTCAAAACCTGACTCTGAATGAACACCGTGAGGACCTGAGCGGAGATGTGTCTTGGCAGCAGGAAACCACCCCAGTGAGGGAGACCTGTGACTCTGAGGCCTCACGTCAAAAGTTCAGACATTTCCAGTACTTGGAAGTGTCTGGGCCTCATGAAGCCCTGAGCCGGCTCTGGGAGCTCTGTCTCCAGTGGCTGAGACCAGAGGTTCATACTACGAAGCAGATCCTAGAACTGTTGGTGCTGGAACAATTCCTGACCATTCTCCCTGAAGAGGTCAGGACTTGGGTGAATTTACATCATCCAAAGAACAGCAAAGAAGTGGTGAGCCTCATAGAAGATGTAATTCAAGACAAAGGTGAGAATATAGAAAACTGAATGTAGAATAGTTGGCTCTTCTCTGAAATCTGAAAACAAAAATGAAATTACTGAGCTCATAGATTCAGAGAACAGATTAGTGGTTGCCAGCGGCGGGCAGTAAGGAGTGGGCAAAATGAGTGAAGGGGGTAAAAAAAGTACAAACTTCCAGTTATAAATAAGCCACGGGGATGTAAGGTATGGCATGGTGACATAGTTAACAGTACTGTAGTGCATATTTGAAAGTTGCTCAGAAAGTAGGTCTTAAAAGTTCTTATCATAGGGAAAAAAATTAGTAACAATATAATGACAGATGTTAACTAGACTTATTATGGTGATCATTTCACAATATACCTGTATACCAATATTGAGTCATTAATTTGCACTCCTGAAACTAATACAATGTTATATGTCAATGATTCCTCAATTAAAAAGGAAGAAAAATTATCCTTTTTGAAGCTAGAAGGTGTCAAGGGCCAGATCATGAAGAACTTGACCATATCACAAAACATGGATTTTATTCTGTGGGCTATAGAAATAGAATGAGATCTTACAGGTTGAGAAGGGGAGTGCAACAATTTGGTGTGCATTTTAAAAATATGTTGGTATCATTGTTGAGTGGAGGCTGGCAAACTATGACCCAAAGGCAAAATATTTTTTGAAATAGTTTTAGTGGAACACAGACACACCCATTTATTTATATTTTGTCTGCTTTCATGCTATGACCAAAGTTGGTTAGTTATAGCAGAAACTATATAGCAACAAACCTAAAATATTTTTAATCTGGATCTTTGCACAAAAGGTTTTTCCAACTGCTTATATTAAGGATAGACCTGAAAGCTCAGAAAAAAAAAAAAAAAAAAAAAAAGGTCCAAAGACTAGGTCAGGTGTTACAGAATGAAGAGAGCATTGGAAAAACAGGATTTTGAACCTAAAGGATTCATGCAGGAGGCAGCCAATTAATGATTCCCCTTGATAGAAACATCATTGGTGTTTCTCTTTCTCCTTTCTGAATCAATAAAAACATTTAAAGAGATGTTTTAAAAAAGTTTGAAGACACCAGACTAATATACAAAAATCCATTGTATTTCTATATACTAGCAATGATCAATACTAAAGTGAAACAAGGCAATCTACAGATTCAAATGAAATTTATATAAAAATTCCAGCTACATATTTTTTTTTTTGCAGAAATGGAAAAGCTGATCCTAAAATTCAAATGGAATTACAAAGCAAAACACACAAAAACCCCACATATCCAAAATAGCCTTAATAAAGAACAGAGTTTAAAGATACACAGTTTAAAAATTCCTAATTTGAGTAATCTAAAAAGAGTGCTGAAGTGATTTGCCATGAAATTAAAGCATAGAGAAGAAAGTAACCTTTAGGCAGCATTCAAATAGTATATTGCTGAGAAATTTGATTCCCCCCCCAAATTCTGCCTTTATTTACAAAAGGGTCTCATAAAATATTTCCCACATTGTTTGTATTCTTATTTTACCCTGAATCAATGAAAACTTCTTCACAGACTAATATTGGTTTATAGTCTGGTATTTGAGGATCATTGATATAACTAATGAATCTTGGAGAAACTTTGGAAAATTGACCCTTGGGTATACTTCTCACTAACGTACTGGAGGAAAGTTGGTTGCCACTGAGGTATTTAAATACTTAAAAGAACCAGTAGTTCAGGGTGACCAGAATGCTTAAGTCTGTATATGGTATACACAGAGCAACTTAGCGGTAAAGAACCCTTGAGTAGAAGTCTCACCAATGTGTTTGAGGAAGGGATTGATAGGATAAAATACAGGGTGAGGCAAAAGTATGTTTTCAGTTGTTTGTAAGAAAAATAATACAATTTTTTTGCAGAAATGTTTCTCATACTCACAACTGTAAAAATACTTTTGTCCCACCCTGTATTCTTAGCTCCCAATAGAACCACAACCTATGGCGGCTAAGTCTTACGTAGGATTTAGTTTTGACAGGGTTAAAGTTATTTTTGGGGGATCTGCTATAACCACAAATGAGGAGTCAAAATATTATTTTGGCCTTTTCCCCTCTGATCCAGTAGTTCTCAATCCCTGGTGGAATTTCAGAATCACATTTAGAGCTTTTTAAAAATATAAGATCTAGGCCCACCATGGTAGATTCTGATTGGTTGTAGAGCTTTGCATCATTATTTTTTCAAAGCATTTTAAAGCCGATTCCTAGGGATAGCATGTTATAATCACTGCTGTAATCATTAAACTTTTCTCCAAAATATAGCTTGTCTCCCTAATGTTTTTCTTCATCTTCTTCAGATATTCCCTGCGAGGATTCTGCCCTTCTCCAGAAGGTGAGTATCAAGAAGGAGAAAATGGAAGCAGATTCACTAACAGGCAAATCCCAGGTGAATTAGGATTCCACTCTTTACTGAAATGAGCTGATTTTTCTTTCTTGACCTTTGAACTTTTGTCAAACAGTTATATCTAAGGACACGAGACTTGTTCTCCCTCAGGACACTGGACCTATTTTAGTTGGCGGTACACTTTTTGAAAAATATAATCTTTGTTTTTGGTGCATTTATTTCTTCAAAACCTTAAACAGTAATTGAAGCTATTAAAAGAGAGCCCATCCAGAGAATGTTCAGAATTAAAAGTGAAGGGAGCCAATGTCACTAATCTTCAGAGAAGAAACCTCAAAGGATACTGAAATGAAATAAACAAAGTAGTAGAGAAAAACCAGGAAAATGTTGTCACTGAAAGCACAAGATGAGAATATTTCAAGAAGAAATCACTTAGAGATTAGGAAAATCCAGCCTGGGTGGTGTCTTACACCAGTTATCATCAGGGAGCTCCTAACATGCATGAGAATAAAAGCCAGGTTGCAGAGAAGGTGAGGAAGTAAGCAAAACCAATGTAGATGACATTCACAAAGACAGGCTCTGAAGTAGGGGAAGGAAAGGATTTGTATATTTCGGTGTGACTGAAGGTGCCAGCAATGATAAGGTTGAGAATGCTGAGAGAAATTTGACAACTGTTGATGGTAAGAGGGCCATTTTCAGAAAGGTTTAATGCAGCCCTGGCCAGTGTGGCTCTGTTGCTTGGATGTCATGCCATGCACCAAAAGGTTGCCAGTTTGATTCCAATTCAGGGCACATGTTGTGGGCTGGGTTGTGGGCTCCATCCTCAGCAGTCAGTTAATGTTTCACTCTCTCCCTTCTCTCTCTCTAAAAGTCAAATGAAAAAAAATCTTTAAAGAAAAAGAAGAAATGTTTATGCGGTGCCTAATATGCCACTTTTTTTAAGACAGTAAATGTAACAAAACCCTGGCTTTGTGGAGATTATAGTCAAAGCAGACAGGCAGACCAAGCAAATAATTGCAGCCCTGGCTGGTGTGGCTTGGTTGGTTGAGCATCTGTCAGGGCACATATCCAAGTTGCTGATTGGTTCCCCTGTCTGTACATACAAGAAGTGGCCGACCCATGTTTCTCATTTTGATATCTCTCTCTCTCCCCCCACCCTCTTCTCTTCCTCTCTCTAAAATCAATAAAAATATTTTTAAGAGGATAATTGCAGACAAGAATAATAATTAGAAAGAAAAGAAATATGTTCAAATAATTTTTGTTCCACAGTTATCCCAACTGTTGTTTTTTTTTTCCTAATCGAATTAATTTTCCTTTTGCGGCCCAACAAAGTTTCAAGTTGATAGGCCCCTAATATAACATGATTTTCATCCTTTAGATCCCCAAAGATTGACCTATCAATTTCTTGTATGTTCTGGCTCCCTCCCGTATTCTTTCCAAATTTATTTCTCCTCTAGTAATATTTTTGAGAGATCTTTGATTAAAAAGGAACTTAATGTTTTAGGAACCAGTGACATTCAAAGATGTGGTTGTGGAATTCAGCGCGGAAGAGTGGGGGCGATTGGACCCTGCTGTAAAGAACCTGTACAGGGATGTGATGCTGGAGAACTATAGGAACCTCAGTTCATTGCGGAAAGGTGGCTTCTATGTACTTACCTAATCTCATTAATAATCTCTTCATCTGCCGAAACCGGTTTGGCTCAGTGGATGGAGCGTTGGTCTGCGGACTGAAAGGTCCCTGGTTCGATTCCGGTCAAGAGCATGTACATTGGTTGTGGGCACATCTCTGGTGGGGGGTGTGCAGGAGGCAGGTGGTAGATGATTCTCTCTCTTTGATGTTTCTGGCTATCTATCCCGCTCCCTTCCTCTCTGAGAAAAATCAATAAAATATATATTTTAAAAAATAATCTCTTCATCTACTAAATGTAGGACTGCTGAAGTGATTAAGGGCATTTGGGATTAGGTTCAGGTTTTTTAATATTCTTCGGGCACAACAGCAGATTTTCTTGCTGTATCTGGCTGAAAGTTCTTTCTGATGCAGAGTTTTAGAAATACACAGGTGTATGATGATTCTGGCCTAATCTTTCAACAGCTCTTAGAATACTATGTTGGGTTGGAATTCTTTTTCCTATAAAAAGGTCTGGAGTGTCATGTATATTTGTTTATTGTGTTGTTTCCATTTTTCCCAAACAGAGCTTCTATTTTCCAAACCAGTTGAGGTCCCCAAGTTGGAGAGTAAGATAAAAGGATGGATAATGGAGCAAGAAATCCCAAGAACAGCCATACTTGGTAAGAAGCAGGCAGATACGAGGCATTTGTAAAAAGCTTCTGTTTGTTAAACTTAACATTGTACTACCAGCCTTTGATTGATAGTTGGGAATGTGATGACAAAACCACCTAAACTTTGAAGAAAAAAAGTCATCATAGCTTTTGGTTCACAGATTCTTTTTCTTATGTGGACAAGCAAAACTGTGGTTTGGGTTAGAACTTAAAGCTGTGTGGCCTGTCTGCCAGTTTCCTAGTCTGTAACAGAGAGTGAATAGTAGTGTCTACTTCCACTTTACTGTGAGGATTAAATGTATTCATATGTGTAACATACTTAGAGCAGTGCCTGGCACCTGGTAAATGCTATATAAATGATTGTTAGCCGTCTCAATTAAATGGTATTCTTTTTTTTTTTTCTTTTCTTCAGAAAACTCTGTTTTATCTTAAAATGGCTTTAATATTCTTCATATTTTCCCCCCTTCTTTAACTATATAAATCCTTAACTTGTGCCTTAAGTCCCTACCCCCATCATAATTTATTCTTATTAACATTTTGTTTTAAATTATTGTGGGCTTAATATATATTTTAGAAAGTGTAGAATATACTTTTCTATAATGAGGGATATAACTCAACTCATTACATCATTAAGTTATGTAGTATTAACATTTGTGTGTGTGTGTGTGTGTGTGGTTTTTTTTCCTTCAGCAATTTTCTTTGTTTATGATAATGTATTTCCGTGGCTTGTAACAATTTCTTTTTTCCAAATTGGGGGTTATCAGGAATATGTCATTATATGTATTCTGCTCTTCTCACCTAATATGATATCATGCACAATTGCCTATTTCACTAAATACGAAAATTGGTTTCTAAATCACATATAACATACCATCACATACATGTATCAGTATATTCAACCATTCCTCCCTCCCACCACAATTATTGGACATTTAGGTTATTGCCAATTTTTCAGACTTAAATGATTTCTATAGTAAACCTTATTAGAAAAGGAACTTCAGCACCAAAGAAGTAGTGTGTGTGTGTGTGTGTGTGTGTGTGTGTGTGTGTATTGTATATGTGTATATTTAGGGAGATGTCCAAAGATGCAGTTTATTCAATATTATATTAGTTTCAGGTGTACAGCATAGTGATTAGACATTTATATAATATAAGAATTGATACCCTAATACAGTGGATCTCAACCTTCCTAATGCTGAGACCCTTTAGTAGAGCTCCGCATGTTGTGGTGACCCTCAACCATAACATTATTTTCATAGCTGTAATTTTGCTGCTGTTAGGAATCATATTGTAAATATCTGTGTTTTCCGATGGTCTTGGGCTCTACAGCAGCAGTTCTCAACAGATCGTGACCTTTTTCACCCAGCCCCCCAACTCCCCTTCCATTTGGCAACCATCAGTTTGTTCTGTGTCTCGATGAGTCTGTTTCTGTTTTATCACCCTGGCAAACACTAGGTATTTTTTATCTGAAATCTTTATTGATTTGATAGGCAAATTACTCTGTTCCTTCTTTTCTATATCTTCTCCCTCGGTTATCTTTTGGATCCCATTTCTATAAAATGCTCTTTCTTCCATTCTATGCCTTGTTGATCTCAACCTTCTTTTTAATATTTTACCTCATTTATTTGTTCTGTAATTCTCATTTTTTTAGCCTCACTTCACATTTTATTCTGTGCTTTAGATGCATAAAACATGCATATCCCCTTATATGGTTTAGCCTTCCTTTGCTAATTAAGCAAATTTTCTTCTTCTAGTTTGTGGAATTTTTATTTCTTTTCAGACACACAGGTAATTTCAGAAAATCAGGATTCAATTTCAAAGAGAATTTCTGGAGCAGAAACATCCCATGGAGTGATAATGACAACATTGACCCAAAGTAGACTTCCTTCTCTGGATGCCTGCAAAAGTGATGATTGGTTAGTTAGGAACTGGGACATAAAATTGTCACAAGAAGCTTTCATTTATAAGACAGTCGATACTAAGAAGAGAGACTTTGAATATAGTAAAAATAAAAAAAGCTTTGATGTTAAGTCAGTTAACTCAGTTTTTGATAGTCAACAAGAAGTTCCTATGAGGAAGGGGTCCCCCAAGTGCCATAAGTTTAAAACTAATTTCAAATTTAATTTTGACTTAGTGGGGAAGCAACATTTAGAATATAAGGAATGTGGGAGCCTGAGTACAGATATTCAACACCCAAAAAGTCATACCACAGTGAACTGCTATGAATGTTTTCAGTGTGGGAAAGTCTTCAGCCGGAGTTCATCCCTTGTTCGACATCAGATCATTCACACAGGAGAGAAACCCTATAAATGTAGTAAATGTGGGAGATCCTTCAACCGGCGAACAAACCTTAGTAAGCATCAAAGAAGTCATCCAGAAGTAAAGGCCTACAAAGGAAATAAATGTGAAACAGTCTTCAGTAAGAGTGAAGACAGTAATAAAAGCCCAAGTCTTCATCCTAGAGATAATACTTATGAATGTGTTAACTGTGGGAAATCCTTTAGCCGGAGCTCCTCACTTATTCGACATCAAATGATTCATACTGGGGAGAAACCATTTAAATGTAACAAATGTGAGAAAACCTTCAACAGGAATTCAAACCTTATTAAACACCAAAAACTTCATACTCAAAGAGAAGTCCTATAACAAGTAAATGGAATAATGCCTTCAGTCAGAGTACAGAACTCATTCAACACCCATGAACTTATGCTGGAAGGAATCCTATGAAAATGCAAATGGAAAAAAACTGTTTGTCAGAGATTATTCTCTAATTGATAATGATGGAATTAATATTGGAAGGAAATCTGTTATTGGATAGAAATCTCAGGTAGATTTTCCTGGCTTCCAGATGAAACCACAGAGTTTGGAATTAAACATATCACCATACAAGTGTTTGTCTATCATTATTCTGATGTTCATTTACCATCATCTTTCTCTAGTTCATAAATAGGACCTATTCACCTAAATCTATTGAAGAAGTCCATATTACGGAGAAGCCAAGCAATATTCTTGGAGTTGATATTTAATAAAACTCAAACTTTCAGTTCTTAATATGAAGGTCACAAGTAACCAGGAGATGATGAGAAAATAGAAGGATATTATAAGGACTGAACTCTCTGAAATAATGGCAAAGGTCTTAGTGACAGCCAATTACTCCACCCCAATTAATATCCTTGGCTGCCCTGGTGCTCAGTGGGGACTACAATTGGAAAAGAGTAATCAACTGCAATAGGAGGTGGATGTGTTGTTGTTAATCTACATGTATCTTTTTAAGATATGAATTTCTTTTAATGTACTCTTGGATCTAGGCTGGAGGACACCCATAGCCCTAGGTCTATCATTTATCCTAAACATTTAAAGGTCAATAAAGTGTCCTCAAGTGGGACACAGGCCCTGCCACCACTCCAGAGGAATAGCCCACCAAATCGCAGCCAACGCTGCTATGGCACAAAATGCAGCCCACAGCAAACGGTGACTGTGGGCACCAGGTAATGATGTCACATTTTTGTTGACATTCTGAAGCTGAAATTGTCAACAGAACATGTCTGAAGAACAACTGTTGCCACAATGTACCTCTGAGGCTGAAAGAAACAACATGTCTGAAGAACTATTGGCACAACATGTCTGAAGCTGAAAAAAAGGCATTGTTGACAGAACATGTCTGAAGAAAAGTCATCGACAAGTACTACCTATACTGATAGGAACTGCCTTCATAACGAAAATGAAGTAAATGAGGATGCAATTATCAAACACAGTTGTGGAATGACTGTTACTTGTCAATTTTGCCTATCTCTAAATTTCTCTAATGAAAAACCATCTGATGAAAAATTTACTCGATGTTGTAGCAAAGGCAAAGTTTGTCCAAATGATATAAATTTTCCAGAAGACCTGGCATATTTTAAATTAATGATAAATGAAGATTCTGACAAAAATTTCACGGAAAATATTTGTTGTTATATCATGTTGTTACTGTTTTTTATTAATCTATATATTATTTTCATTTACATTTTACTAATTTTCTTTCATCTCTGACACTTCTATTGTATAAAGAAAGGGCAAATAGTGATATTAAAATATTTATTCTAATTTCCTCTCATTGTGCAGGAATTCATGCACTGGGCCACTCATTTCTAGATAAAAAGGCTCTTAAGGAGATGTTGAATCCTCCCATGTTAAACCATAAAAACATTCTAATCAAATATTTCATTGAGAACATTATTTCAAAAGTTGACTATAAAGTTTATTTTGTAAGTACCACTCTAGTGAGAAAATGTAAGAGATATCTCTATATATGACAATGAGTTTGGTGGCTAAAGAGCAAAACTGAGAAAAGAAAAATACTTTGATTTTCATTTTTTTATGAAAATGCTTCTTATAAAACACCTATATCTACTTAAAGAAGCTTAAGATATATGGCAAATCAGACTTCTAGATTTTAATCCTGGAATTGCCAATAATTTGTCCTATAACTAGTTATTTAACTTGGGACTCTAATATTTCATCTGAGAATAGGGATACCTGGCCTACATTTTTATTGTACAGTTATAAAGAGATAATATAGCACATTTCTTAAGTATAAGATTTGCAAATTAAATGCAAATGTATGGTTTTAATATTATTATTGGAGCTTAATGATTTAACACAGTGGCTCCTAATAAATGCTCAAGAATCATAGCCATCAATTATTACAATCTACCAAAGAAGCAGTAGGCTGGCTAAGCAACTAACAACCCTCCAAAGCATCAAATAAAATAAATTCTAGTTTTAAGGATGAAAGATTCCCCAGCAGTGCATACTCAGTAGGTTTTCTAAGAGTCAAACATGGCCGAAACCGGTTTGGCTCAGTGGATAGAGCGTCAGCCTGCGGACTGGAAGGTCCCGGGTTCGATTCCGGTCAAGGGCATGTACCTTGGTTGCAGGCACATCCCCAGTAGGGTGTGTATAAGAGGCAGCTAGTCAATGATTTTCATCGATGTTTCTACCTCTCTATCCCTCTCTCTTCCTCTCTGTAAAAAAAAAAAAATCAATAAAAATATATTTTAAAAATAATAAGAGTCAAACATGATTCTGTGAAAGAAATATCAGCACCAGAATTCATCATAGATATAGCAAACACTTTTAAACAGGAATAGATTCCATCCTACCCCCACCATTTAGGTTAATATATTTTCAGTTGTGAAATGGTTTGAAATTTTTTTTTCAAAAGGAGTCTTATCTCTACTTTTCCTACCCTTGAACTAGAAAAGAAAGGTAACAACTCTTGTAGACCTATTCAAAGATAAAGTCAAACTATGGAAATTTTTATTCAAAAATCCTGTGGTAATAAATACTCTGAAAAATCTGGATATGTCTGAGTGTCTGTGTTATGCATGTGAATGCAGTCTTAGCTAAGTATGAGCAGATACTAACCTGACCAAAGCAATTATTTCATGAACAACACAACCTAGCAAAAACTAAAGGTATATTCACTAGTTGTCTGACAGTCTAAGGTAAGTACTGTTTGGTATGTGCCCTACTGGGAGACAGCAGTAAAGCAAAAAGGAGCTTTTGCCCCCTGGAAGGTAAAACCAAAGAGATTTGATACTAATATATGCACATCATGGAGGAAACTGTAATAAGAAAAGGAAAGGAGATAGAATGGTTGAGGGAAGAGGCTATCAGAATATGAAGCTTCTATGCATAAGTATTTTCTTTACATCTTCACGGGTGGAAAATGTTAGCATCTCAGTGGTTTGACTTCTGAGTGAATATATAGAGTCAATGAAAATCTAAATCCATAGTTTGCATCAGCTACTATTTATTTAGTTATTGGATTCCAAAATAATTGATGCTCCCTATTTAGTGGATAATACATAAGTGGAGAGAGAAAGTTGACATAAGCACTGCCTGCAGAATGTACATGACTTGCTTGATGCTGTTTTCAAGTTTTATTTTTTGTCAGTTTCATTATGAACATAGTAATTATTAAAATACAGTTCTATAGTTTAAAGAGGAAGGTTTCTCTCCTGAGAGTCAGTTTTCATATTAAAGCAACTAAATATATTTCTGAATGGGACAGCTATAAACATTTTAATGGGTTCTTTGCTATAAACTCAAAAGTTCTAAAAAAAAACAAAACACACACACACACACACACACACACACACACAAAAACAACAACAAATACCTCTCAATGTATTTGGAATCATTTGAAGATGTGTGAAGTTATGGTGGTACTGTCTTTTCAACATCCATCCCTTAACCATTTACAGTATGTCAACACTCCACTAGAAACTGGAGACACTCAAGGAACTAATATTTAAACATTACACAAGGTGACAGGTACTAAACAAATGATGTGGAGCCACAGGATTCCAGACACCAGATTTGGCAAACTTTAAGCCTCCAGCATCTGGGCAAGATATCCAAGATGATTAAGAAACTGCATTTGGGAATGGAGAAAAGCCGCCTATTAACCTAAGCCCTGGCTGTGAGGCTCTCCCTGTCCACCAGACTCCTTTTTCATATGCCTCTCTCAGGTAAGGGCAGATGGGTGAGAAAGCTAGAGTGGAAAAGAGTCTAATTTTTGTAGTCCCTTTTGCAGTCTGAAGAGATCACCTAGGACAGTGGTCAGCAAACTCATTAGTCAACAGAGCCAAATATCAACAGTACAACCATTGAAATTTTTTTTTTTGAGAGACAAATTTTTAAACTTCTTCTAATGCCACTTCTTCAAAATAGACTCCCCAGGCCGTGGTATTTTGTGGAAGAACCACACTCAAACCCCCAACAAAGAGGCCAGAAAGAACCCAGGATTGTTTCTGTTCCTTCTCAAGGACCAGGAGAGCTGGCACCCAAGACCTTATTTCTGGTCCTCTAAAAACTTCAAAGTTACAATTCTAGTTTGAACATGAAAACACAGAATTTTATTTCACTGCTTTGTCCCTCGAGGGATGCATATGCTATCCATGTAATTTAACCTCTTGAGCTTCAAGGCTTTGTTTATTAACAAGAATAATAAAGAATAATAATATGCTCTGACCAGTTTGGCTCAGTGGATTGAACATCGGCCTCTGGTCAAGAGCATGTATCCCAAGTGGGGGGTGTGCAGGAGGCAGCTGATTGATGTTTCTCGTCAGTGTTTCTGACTATCCCTCTCCCTTCCTCTCTATAAAATAAATATATACATATATATTTTTTAAAATAATAGATATAACAACTAGGTAGTTAAATAGCTGATAGTCTTTATTTTTCTTACTTTATCAGTTAAATATACAGTGTATCGGGTCTAGTAATAATTAATGTCGTTTTTAACATTCGTTTAAAATCTTGCTTGGCGTTGACTTGTATTGACATAACCTTCAAACACGTGGTATCTACAGAACGTGTGAAGTGCAATTAACAAGTTTTGCTTGAAAAAGTTTGTGTTTGGTTTGGCTTTTGTTGCAAAACTAGGGCTAAGAAGATGGCGGATGAAGAGCATATTCGGCACTGCATGCTTTACGAGTTCCAATTAGGAAGAAAAGTGAGGCTGCAAAAAACATCTGTAGTGCTCTTGGTCAAGATGCAGTTAGCGCCAGAAAATGCCAGTGTTGGTTTGAGAAATTTCGCAAGGGAAATTTTTCGTTAGGTGACAAGAGTGGTCGAGGCTGTGTGTCCAATTTTGATCAAGAAGCTCTTCAAGCTCTTTTGGTGCAAAATCCTCAAATTACCAAACAAGAGCTTGCGACAACTTTAAATTGTTCACAAAAAACAATTTCTAATCAATTGCGTGCACTTGGCAAAGTCCAAAAGTTTGGAAAATGGGTTCCTCATGAGTTGACCGACAACAACCATAATCAAAGAGTCACAATTTGCAGTTCGCTCCTCTCTCGTCAAAACCGTTTGCCGTTTTTAGAGCACATTGTTACCGGAGATGAAAAATGGGTGCTGTATGTTAATTTGAAAAGGCGGCCTCAATGGTTGGACAAAAATGAGGCTCCGCAGCCCACGCCAAAACCTGACTTGCATGCGAAAAAAGTGATGTTGTGTGTTTGGTGGAATTTTAAAGGAATTCTTCATTATGAACTTTTACCATCTAACCAAACCATTACAAGTGCAGTGTATAGTGCCCAATTGGAAAGGTTAGCCCAAGCTTTAAGAGAAAAAGAACCCGCGCTGATTAATCGGAAGGGCGTAATTCTTCACCACGATAACGCACGACCGCATACTGCAAGAATCACTGCTGAAAAACTGCGCCAGTTGGAATGGGAAGTTCTCCCTCAACCTGCATATTCTCCTGATATTGCCCCTTCCGATTACCATTTGTTTCGTTCTTTGCAAAACTTTCTTCTTGGAAAAAAATTTAATAATGAAGAATGCCTCAAAAATGCATTTACCGAATTTTTTGCATCAAAATCACAAGAATTTTACAACATAGGGATTAAAATGCTTCCTGAGCATTGGGCACAAGTAGTAGAAAACAACGGCAACTATATTGTTGATTAAATTTTGTTGTATTGTTTAAATAAATTAGATTTTAAAAAAGTATTAGAAAACGACATTAATTATTACTAGACTTAATATTATAATTCCATTGCTCTCCCCTACTTGTTACATCAGAAATACTATCTTTACTAGCAGAGCACCCAGAGTCTTAGAAAAGGACCCCAGATCCTAATTACAATCTCAACTCTTGTCACCAACCACTTTGTGGAACTTTGGAAAGGACCAAACTTGTAGACAGCCTGTGGCCTCATTTTCCTCACCTGAGTCCTGCCTTGTTGATTTGATCACAGGTCCCTGAGGAAACAGATCAACAGTTAAGAGCCCTTTTTTTTTTTTTGGTGAGAAAAACCACTCATGGGTGTCCCAAGAGCAGGACAGGTTTGGGCTCTCCAACACACCACGGGCTTCTGGAGTGTCTGATTTGGAGGTACAAATGGTTCTAGACGAGCAGGGTCTGCCCGTCTCAGGGCCACGACCTGCCTGGCCTCTGCTCCTGCAGTG